TGTTTTTAAAATTATTAAAAAACAGGTGTTTATGTACACTTTGTATGTATTTTATTATTTTACGTTGTGAACGTTACTATTACATTTGTATTGTAGTTGTATTAAAAACATTTAACATTCACATACAGAAGTACTTTCCAGCTCTATATTTGGGAAAGAATAACGCCATTTGATATAGTAAAACATATAAAGTCATTGTGTTTTGAGTCAAAAAGTCAAGTTTATATTAGACTTAAAGATCCTGTAACACAATTTTTTCATGGTTTTATTTCATAAGTTTGATGCTCAAATTAAGATGTGTCAACATTGTAAGTTCCAATCAGTATTATTTATAAAAATATTACCGAATTTAACATTTCATGTAAATAAAGGGAGGTAATTATAAATTTATTTTCTATAAATTTTTAGTCAAATTTTCCAATAATCAATGAATGCATATAATTTATTTATTAAATATAATGTGAAAAAATATTTGCAGTACACATATTACATATTCTTCGATGTTTGAAAATTGTTTTATTTGCAGAACAGAACAGAACAGAAATTTTATTAAAGTTTTGTACATGGTACATCATCTTACAATGTGTACAATTTAAATATACTATACAATAGTCACATGACATTTAATGTACATAAATATAGCTATAGATCTTAACATACATACTGTTAACAATGAAAATATAGATAAAGAATACAACATGAAATATTCTATTTACTTCCTACATAGAGGATAAACCATTCATTGTTACATATTATAAGACATGGATGTTCTATAAGCCATAGCATCTCTGATATAGTAAGCCAAGTTACACAATATCTTCTTATTATTACAATTTAACAATTCAATAAATTTGAACATATTTGGTCTAGCATAGTAGTATCTCTTATAATTATATACATATATACATGTATTTTTTTTGCATATGTGGTATACATACAGTAAAAATATCAATCACAAAACAAACACGATCTTTAAAAAAATAAGATCTCATCTAGATAATAACAAAATACAAAGAAACGTTTTGGGAACTGGTTAGCTTATGCAACGAGTGATTAAAATATTAAATTTTACGATTTAGAAAACCCCCTTAAAAAGTAAAAAAAAACATACCATGTATATGTCAAGAAGCTGAAGAAAAACAAATACAAGTTCTATATTAATTTATGTTCCTTTATAACAGACAATTTAATTTCTTGCATCAAATGGTTTGAATCATTTCCGTGTCAACTTCCAGGAACAAAACATAAATTGCCGTAGCTTGATTATGACATGAATCGCGCTTTACCCTATGAATCTTAGTTTGAACAGCACGTCCCTTAGCTATGATGTCGCCGCTCTTTACAGGTCAAGAAAAAACATATTCATATTAAAAGGTACGTATTACTAAGTAAATACTAAATATTAAATGTTAATTTGAGCTTTGTTTTATTGTTCAAAAGGATTGGATTCTTTTTTTTTCAATTTCATACATCTTCAATGTAAGCTTAAAGTCCTTTACATATCTATCCTGACCTAAAATAAGGCCGTCTTTTATTTGAGAAACATTAACTCGGATAAACACATTCGAGGGGTACTCACTTACCTAATATGATGATTTCTGAATTTTGTCCTGATCCGGATCATCTCTATACACAAACATTCTGAGATATATAACAGCACGGACAATATGTCACTAATATATCAACCTAATTTCATTATGTCAAACTCAATTTATAAAATTCCCGTCTTTACAGAAATTGATTTGACCATTGTTGTCTAAATGACGAATATCGAAACATATTTTGTTTCGATAAATGCAAGAATGTTGCTATATTTAAAATGTGCAAAGTACACACATTTTATATTCATTAAATATAAAAGGCAAAGATAAACAAGGGAAGACAAGGCAATGAAGGCACCTCCCACAAAACCTATTAACACAGAACCACCAGTAAGGAGCCCAACAAGACACCAAACCAAAACAAGAGGACATACGATTAATGCAAGGACTAGGCTGTTCACTGAATGCCGCCGTTCCCTGTTGATCTTGTTTATCATAGTTTATTATTATAACGAATTTTAAAACGTAAAAGAATATAAAAATTAATAAAAAATATGAAAGCTTAAATAAGGTTAATGAATGGACAAGAGGGCCAAGTGTTTGGGGGAAATATGGAAAAATATAAACTAGTAGACGACATAAACCAGACACATAATATGAATCTGAAAAACATGGATGGGCACAAAACTCGTTTAATGGTGCGCTAAAAAATACTGTTAGCCCCAATATGTTACTGTTGTACGAGACAGTGTAGATAAAACGAATCCCCGCATGTCGAAATTCTATTAGTTTTTAAGGTTAAAAGAGATTAAATGATGTTGTGTGGTTGTTCGGGCTGAACGGCGACATCGACATATTACTTGTCATACAGCGCCGAACACAGTCGGTACAAGTGAGTTAGTGTTATCTTTAAATACGAGTTTACTTCCTTTTAGTGAAATATTCATTGCAATCTATACACAATGAAGTATCGTATTTTGTTAAAAGGTAAGAATGTGTAACACTAGTGTTTCAAATTCTAAATCTAAGAACCACAAGTAGACCATGAAGGTAAATGATAAATAGAGATGGTGATTTATCAAATCAGAGGTTGCCATCGTGAAGTACTACTTTGATTATCATTCATGCGTTTACTGATATAGAATTTAAAAACACTACTTTTTACCTTAACGATAGATATTCTGGTTTAGAATATTAAAATCCTTCAACAAACTCATCTACTTTTTTCAATTCCTAGTACTCCAACGTGGTTCCAGCATACATTGACATTGTTAAGTACCATGACATCGCAAAAGGAATTTTGTAATCATTATGTCATTGGAAATTCTATTTCAATTAATACTAACTAACTATTAGGGCCAATGAGTGCTAAAACATAGAGCGAGTCTGAAATGTATGACAATGCTAGATTAATGGCTTTCACCACTGCAGTAACTTAAGATGGATTATCATGTAGTGCTATATAAAAAGACCAATTTCGAAATTCCTAAATGTCATAACGGAATGCGGTATATCAAGAATATCACATACAAATGCCCCGTTGTAACAATCCAAAAGACGACAACAAAAGAGAAATCAGTCTCAGAGAGTTTTAAGAACTGTTAAAAATGTTAATAATATACTGTAACAAAATCAATTTGTATAAGTTTCTTATGCCAGAATTCAAATTGCTGATGAATCTAATTAAGCGTTAAATTACGGATAATATGGTTTCAATCTAATTTACTTCCATTGAAGTCTAATGGTTGGCGATCTATTTATTTGATACGTTTTTAAAATGAAATAATATGAGTATATATCTGACATGCATTCGCAATTGAGAATTCATGTCTGCCATGATGGAAAAAAATACCCGTTGACTTAGAGATTAAAGCTTTGCAACTATCAATTGACAAGAACGATCAATACACGAAGGGTTATAAAGAAATGATCACATTCGTTTGTGTCACAATACTATAAAATATAGAGTGATAATTAAATATATTCAATTACCTGACATTGAGGGTTTAAATAAATCAACAATTATGATTTCTCTTTTGAAAATACACTTTATTTCAAAGGCTGCTTTAAAATGCTTATTGTAAAATGTGAGTTGAAGTATACCTGACTGTAATAAGTCATTTAATTATGAAGTAAACATACATTTATTTTATATGAAATACTGTTGATTGTATTTCCTTTCCAAAGAAAACTATCACGTTTAGTACAAAACAAACAAAAGAACAAAAATAACTTTGATGAACGAACTCATATGTAAGAAATTCCTTTATAAGCACATTTCTATTACATAACACATCACAGAATCATTGAAATATATAACATCTATAAATGGATAACAAACATGATACATATATTTATGATTATCACAGTTGTACAGACAAACATATGTAAAACTGTTTATATTTGTACAAAACAAAATTCTACACATTCCAGTTTGATGAACATTTTATGAACATCTATATCATGAAAAACACAAAAAGGTCATACACTGCAATATACAGATACCATCAGTTTGGTACACCTACTACCTGGAACACGGAATTATTTAATTTGTAAGGTGTTACGGGAGATTTCATTACTTAATTACGTGACTGTATATTATTACTACGAACTTTTTTAAACGTACCTATATTAAAAGGGTATGATAGTAAAGGATTATTATAAAACACTGATATGAAATCATTTAAATCAAATACAAGGAACATACAAGGACATTACAAAATAAATACAACGAAATAAAATATTTATAATGAAAGTTACTTTTAAAATAATGCAATATCGAATAAACAAGATCATTATTCAACCAATCGTTTGTTCACAAAAAAAGCTAAAATATATATTACTTTATTATATATTCAATAGTTATTATTAATAATAAGTGAAAATGGAAATGTTTAATCTCGACATACACATAATTGAAATACATTATATTGTACCATTTTCTGATTTTGCCGTTTCTTTTAAAAACTTCTAAACTATATCAAGCGAAACTATTTTATAAACTTCTAAACTATATCAAGCGAAACTACAAAAAAAACAACACTTTTTGATCATGATTGACATAACTATTTCTTAGATTACTGATTTGTTAAAAATATCAAAAAGGTTTGTTGCGTTCATTAGACGCCGCCTTTCCATCTTGATTTTGTTTATTATATACTATATTATAACATCATAATGACATATTATACCAATTCAGTAAAAGTGTTTGACACAAAGGAATACAATAAAGATAAAACATCATGTCATGATTCGATCAAATATATATTTCATTGCACTTGGAATCCTGTATATTTTTAGTACAAACTGAATAACTTATGTAAATGTTCAAATGACCTGTAGATGCTATGCATCTTTCAACCAAAACGTCGAATCTTTAGAAAACAAAATCAATCAAAAGTAAACGTACCTATTTTAATACATAAGAGGCCGTAATCCTCTTCGTATATATCCCTTTAATTCATCCAAAAACAATAAGAATAACAATTTATTAAGATTTTTATGATGTTGTTTTATATAATATACATTCCAATTAAAAGAACATAATGAATGGACTGAAGTATTTTAATAGTATAATAATGTAATGGGTCCGACTTAAATTGAGTCATCAACAATACACTTAAAATACACACATATTCTTTAAGACCGCTTCAGGTCTGCCTACGTTTTCTATTTCTGCTTGCTTAAGGAAACCCCTTCTCAAGAAATGATATGATTTTATCGAGTTTTTGGTCTTGCTGTGTTAGTTTAGTTTTTATCTCTTTGACATCTGATTTTAAACTTTCTGATGAATTTTCTAGATGGCATATTCGCTGCTCCATGTTTTGTAGTTTTTGTATTTCATAGGGCACACTTTCAAACGATTTCATCTGCAGCGGTGGAGATAACCCAATACTCTTCAGTATTGCACATATTGGAGTAACTAGACAAGTATCAAAATTTGTCCCCCCTTCTATAAGTCCTATTACACTTACTGGAAAATTTTCATGACAGTGAAATACAAGAGCTCCGGAATCTCCAGGTTTCGCAAATGCCTCGCCATAAATTTCTATCTGATTTCGCAGTGCAAAAGTTATATTTCCGTGTTTAGAATTTAATGTTGTCATATCAGAGTGAATTTTTCCTCTAGATATCCCTGTTTCAGCACCATATTTCATCACAAAGGTGTCTGCATTATTGATGTACTGACGTATTTCGTCTAATTCCAAGATTTGCCCTGAACGATAAGCAATATCGTCAGTACCTAAAAAGATACATAAAACGCTTTGCATAAAAGCCGTTCAATAGACTAAACCACTGCATTGCTTTTTACCAAAGGTATATAGGTACCATTAGAATTAAGATAAATATATATTTACAAAAGAACGTCCGTATGAGAGAAAATCAGATTTCGCTGGCTGTAATGAAGTTTAAAGCACAAAAAACTTGTCTCATTCCAAGTTATTACAGAATGAATGAATGAAATGGAAGTAACTTATGGATGAACTATCTAATCAAAAATACGTATCAGTATTTAAGGGTAACAATGTAATTAACGTACCTGGGAACCTGCCTTGATTATCAATTTGCCTGTTTTCAATTTTTATCAGGACTACTTCTACTCCGGGACGATTTTCATTTCCTTCTTCACAGACGGCTAAAACAATTGAGCCAAATCTATGTGGACGAACAGGTTGAAAGCATGATAAATCATTAGTTGGTTGTAACGATTCACCTCTTCCGATGGCATCCATATCGTTGCCGGAGAGGATGACGTGGGCCGATGTAAAACAACAAAGACCGAATTTTGGATGATCGATAAAACCTCCAAGTGTCCCAGTATAAATATGTCCCAATGGGTCAGTATTGTCCCGTAGGCCCTGTATTAGGCAACCCATCTTCACGTTTTCGTGTATGTCACGAGAGGTGAGAACGTACGGAGTAAATGCACCTTCACGAATGTCAGTTTTATATCCATCAATTAAATTTGGCAATACATCTTCGTCAACAGGAATCAAACCCTTCACAGGGACATAGAAAACAATACACGGTGTGTACTCCAATTTCGAAATACCGTTTTTATTAAAGCCTTTCGACTTGATTGAACTGATAGAGATTAAAGTTATATTTGTATGTTTCTTTAATAAATTATTTGTATTTCTATCTAATATTGCTCTCATTTCGTTTCTTTGCTTCGCTGTTATTCCTCTTTCATTTTTAATTATATAGGAGGCTTCTTTGCTCATATCATCGATGCAACGGTGGACGATAGGTCTGTTATGAATCTTTAGTGATTCACATTTGTTTTTTGTTAAAACGACAAAAACGATTTCATTTTCTTTCTCGGGGACATATGCAGCACGAGCATCAATAACAGCGGTATGTTTTTTCCGTATTCTTAAACATATTTCAGAACAAAAAACTCTGATTATTGCAGACTTTCTTCCGAGAAGCTCGCACAGACTATCTAGAAGCCAAGTATCTGGTAAATACCCAATATTAAAATCTTTAACTTGAGTTCTTTGACCTTCTTTGTCATTTTCCCAGAAACAGTCTGAAACGTGTACAAACTTTTTACTAGCACAATTCGTGAAAAAGCGTAAATAAACTATCGATTATTGTAAAATGTAAATGAAATGAACTACGTGAATAAACATGAATATTTTCAATTGCAATACGTTCCTTTATTAAATATAAATAAAGAGTTTGAGAAAATAGGACCAGGATATTGTTGTAATAACACAAACCAATTTCGATGCTCCAGATAAATTTTTGACACAACCACTACTAAGACTAAGATTATTTTGTCAACTCCCTTGTTGAGTTCATATAGTGAAAATGCAACCCTAGCAATCTAAGAATGGAGTAAAAACACAATTTAAAAAAGTAAAGAAGAACATAAAACAGAAGGATGCTACAACCCAATGTCTACAGTCTTAACCGTCTTCAATCGCGCAGTGTGGCAACAGGACAGTGAAACAACAGGGTGGATGGAGAAGGGAAAGTCTTGGTTCCTTGCCACTGGTTCTTATTGCTGAGTCGTGTGGGGGTTGCGTTCATTGAACGCCGCCTTTCCTTGTTGATCTTGTTTATCGTATTTTAAGGACGTAATTAGAGAGAAATAAGAATTTGTAAAGAAAGCCCAGCACGGCAAAATTTAAAATGTTGCAGGCCTGGTGTGATTGAGCTTGTTCATGGACGGTACCGTACACGCCACCTAGCACCGTAAAGTTGTAAAAACGTTTACATGTTTGAATATTAATATACTCAAGCAATTCGTATTAATAATGTTGAACAGAATTGATTTTCATTTTGAGAACAAGACTGAAATTAATTTAGCGATGATACCTTTGCAATATTAATAATTTCTTGTGTAACAAAGAAGGTACATAGACGATGTAAATAGTGAATTGTTGAAACCGGAAACATTTTTATAAAGAAAACAAATGTAGTGTAATAAGAATTGATCCATAGCCGTAGGATTGTGTCACAAGAATATGTTATTCAGTAAAAATTTATCACAAACCAATGGTGTAAATCTACCATGGATACGGATAATATGATTCCTAGACAATTTCATTCATCAGATGGATTACAAATTTCGATGAATAAATTGTTTGAACATAAATTAGTTAACAACTTGAGGAAACGACTTTTACCTTGCAATAACATTGCCATAAAATGATCAGAAAAAACACTACATACCTGAACTTAACATAATTCCTAAATTCAATACAGAAATTAGAGTAGGTATGTTCATCAAAAACACACTATCATTCCATACAGAATATCTGTGATACTTTGGTAGAAGCTCATATCCAGAATGTGGGTTGCTCTTAGTTTTGGCAAGAAGTTGATGGAACCCTATATTGCTGTGAGGATCTGAAAGCGAAATAGGACACATGGCATCAAATAAATAAATTTTAATTTGAAAAAGCAAAAGCATGCTTACAATTATTTAGAATAATGTGCACATAGTGCTTCATTATATCGATAATCGTCATATCTGAACTTATACATTCATCTCAAATGGAACTTACTCCAACAGATGAATAACTTAAAAATGATATTCAGGTAGACAAGGGGAAAGAGAAAATGACCCCCAACCCCACTCTCTCCCATAAAAAGAATAAAAAAAGAAAGAACAACAAAACAAACGTATCAGTGTTCTGTCATCCGGAAGAAAGATTATAATGCAGTAAACTATTTAATATATGATAAATATTTCATGTTCACTACTTTCTTTCATCGAAAAAATGGTTGTAGAAATATAAAGACGATCTCAATAATAACAAGTGCGTTTCATAAAGTTAATGTCGCATATTTCATTGTTTTAAAGTTGTTATTAAGAAAAAAGTCCATACGAATTGTAAATAGTCTGCACAGCGTAACACACTTACCTCGCACAAGAAAAATGTACTGTATGATATTCCGTGTTTTATTACATTTCACAACTATAGTTCGATTTTCAAACAAAGCCTGAAACGATCTTGTATAGCAATCATCAAAATATCCAAACGGTACAATATCTGTCATACTTCTTTGTTTTTCTGAAATGTTACGTTAATAAATATTATGTTCACAATTAAATACAAGTTCCTATATGTAACACTATGCTTTATAAAAGAACAAAACATCCACATTTAAGCAACAAAAATGTGCTACAATGGGACTTGTATTCAGTTTGTTAAAGATGATGATTTGTTAAGTTCCTCTTTTTGTAAAAATGTCAATAACCATATCCTTTTCCGTGGTGTTACCCTGTTAAGCGATTTCGCTACGCTGTTACCAATGTGAACAAGAGCCACAGCATTTAGTGCCAACGCCGACTTTTCTTATTTCTAAAGTCAAACATCAGAAGTAAAAAAAGAAAATTACAAACTACTCCTACAAAACATATTTTTAACAAATATAATGCAAATTGCATGTTTAACATGCGTTATTTTGTCCAAGTAGTATGAACTTAAACTGTAAATATATCTCAAAATTATGGGGCAATTTCAGCAAATATTACACATTTATCTTGACACCAAGTTTTTTCTCATAATATACGTTCGCGTTTCCAAGTATAAATCAATTTAATAAATAAATAACAAAGTTATGTTAATTTATGCAAATTGCAATAATATAATCCTGAATGTCAAAGTCATTGAAAGATCAATGGCAATGAACCAGACAATCAGAAAAGGAACAAATAGAAGATCTTAAGATTTTAACACCAACAGTGTTCGAGGGATCATATTTCATTTTGGATGGAAAATTTCACATATTGTTACGTAAAAATGGTTTGTTATAATTGCAAATAATGATTTGATTGAACAGTTATTAAAAATAATGTAACTTTATCATATTTAAATGTGCAGTTCAAAAAATAATGTTAATTTATTTCGAATAAACTGCCGTTCACTTGGGTTCGTTTAAAAAAAGACAAAAAAAAAACAACAAGAGCGGCAACATCTCTGTCGAATTACACCTGCGCTGATGTTGCGATTTCATATCGTCTTAAAACTTGAAACCATTATAACTATAGCTTGATCTTCGTAATGTGTAATCAATTCCCTATTATTTGATCCATGAATTTCAAATTTGGTGATGTTATTGAGTTCAAATTAAGATGAGTGCTGAAAATGAGTGGCGAAAAGTATACCTTTACTTTTGACATACAATGTATATATGTATCGTTTTAGTGGGGCATTAAGAAAATTAAATCAAAGACTTATATCAAATATATCAGTAACGAGTACAATACAATATATATACAGATGACGAATAATTGAAAGAAAGAGTAATTTGGTAAGAAGCGATACCAATTTAGTTATCATAAACCAGTAAATGTATGTGTTTAGTTTATTCCTAACCAAGTTATTAAAGAATAAACAAATGTGTTATTTTTTTACCAAAAATGAAATTGTTTATAAGTATGGTGTTGAAACGTTTATAAAACCTTTACTTGTGGACATTGTTGATACATATGTCACCTAAAATGACATTATATTACCAAATTATTATAAAATAAGTAACATTCACGATAATAGCATAGGCCTTTCTCATCATACTAGCATTAAGGCGTCTAATGCGATTTTGAAGTGAATTGTGCCATTCTTGGTGCAGAGCTTGTTCCAGTTCTTGCAGGTGACTACAAATGGTTTGTACCATTGCCCAGATAAAAATTAAAATTTGAGTTGTGGTCATGTCAAAATTAAGGCAAAATCTCTGTGTGCTAAAATTAATATGACAAGTCTATTTACTCGAGCTATTAGGTTTCACTGAGGATGATCACGTGACCAAAATCGTACAATGGGCTAATTAAATTGCGACATGGACTCTCGGTAAAAGCAGTGAAATTAAGGTAAGCATACATTTAACGCTAAATTTGTATGTTAAACTAGGCCCCGCGGAACCCCTGTACAAAAGCCACATACTGTTCTGTTATTGGTTACTTTGTAGCATTCTCTGTTTAGGCATGAAAGTCGAAAACGTTATTTTGGGTGTTGCAAACAATGGGGGAACAGGTACTTAAATGCGTTGTTTTCAGTAAATGGAACGCATTTTATGACATATTGTGCACAAATGTAAACATGTCTGTCATGAACAAGTTCCATCCTTTGTGAAGTTGCATAACGAAGTTGTACATATATTTAAAAAAAATCGATTACAATGGTTGATCGATTTAATTGCCTGCCCAAGTTCGTCCATTTTTTCAATCATTTATAATTATGTTTTTTCCCGACTCTAGTCCTTGAAGTCATAAAAATTTAATGCAGTTATTTAAATTGAAAAGAAAGAAGTATCAAATTGAATAAATTCTGGTTTGCTTGTTATACATTTTCATATTAATAGTGTTTTGCTTTGATAACACACTAGCACACGTCTACATTAACTTATAGGTATTTACAATATAATAATACAAAAAAGTACATCATATAGAATTAATTTCACCAGCAAAACATCAGTTTCAATTTCATACATAAAATGTCGTAAATAAAGTATTTTTTTTTTGTATTTCAGACGCAGAAAGATTGTTCCTTTAAGTGGTACCAATGTTAACGTATATCTATGGAATATATGTTGTATTTTTTAAATTTTAATATTGCTCTTAGTTTATCGTTCAATACTCCGCAGTGGGTTTATTATATTTAAAGCTTAAATAAAACCAATGATCTCACTTAAAAGTTCAAATACTTTTTACAAATCTGTCTGTCATTTTAAGAGAAGCATGAGATAATTGTCGATCTGCACGAAAAATATCCATTACAGTAAACTTCACTTATAGCGAACACGGTTATAGCGAACCTCCGGTTATAAGGAACAATTTTTTTCGGCTCGAATTTTGCCCTTCTTTATTTAATATAGAAATATACGGTTACAGCGAACACGGTTATAAGGAATTATCGCTTATAAGGAACTCAATTCTAAGTCCCAATTTAGTTAAAAGTATAGAAAATTACACTTTTATAACGAACTCTAAAATATCGGCTATCCGTAAATAGATCCAGCATTTTCAACTTTCGTGGATAAAAAAAACTCGGCCAGAGGTACCGTAAATTGTTGTATGTACTTCTATACAGCTGTAAAAATGAATTTTTATAGCAGTACGTAATAGTTTTGTATTTAGGATATGTTAGCACGAGTTATTGTAACCAAGAAAAAAACTGTAAAGTTATTCCTTTTATTCTATTATTTCTTTTCTTAAATAGTTTTGCTCAAGTATAATAATTATAATCATTTTTAATCGGTTTTCAACAAAGTCACACAAAGTACGATTGATTGAAATGAAAAGAAATCTATATCTTTTTTAAGTAAAAGTCAGGCTTAAATATAATAGAAGATATTCAATATAAAAGGAAGAAAAATCGAAAATCTTGTTTATTCTTAATCATGGTTAGAAAACAAAGAGGCACTGAGTTTAGAAACAAAATAATGTATTTTATAAGAAATTGTGAAAGGGAGTAAAACTAAAACTGAAATAACAAAGGATTTTTAAAATTCCAAAAAAGGACGCTCTCGGGTTATTGTGTTCTAAAAATATATAAGTGACTATTTTTCTAAAAAAAGATGGAGGACGATGGGTAAACAATCAGTTCGTTATATGCAAATCTGTTCGCTATAAAAACTCCTAATACAAGGAACAAATTCGCTATATGCTTTCAAGGAACTCCGGATATAAGGAACAGATTTCAAATGTCCAAATTAGTTCGTTATAAGCGGAGTTTACTGTATATAGAACAATACACTTTATTGAAGCATTGCGAAATTTAATTCATCCAATGCATTTATATATAACTAAAATACACTTATAACAATGCCTGTTATGCGACTTGAGTATCAGTTTACTACTTTACAATACCATCTAGTCAAATTCTTTGTGGTTTTAACCAGATAAAAAAAATTACAGAACTCTTATTATATGTATTCTCGGGTGTTTAAAATATGAATGGTTTTTTTTTCCGTTTTTCTTTCGTTTTGCTTATTCATGCCCTATCCTTCTTAAGTTTATTTTTAAAACATTGTCAATATCGCTCCCCGCTATTGAATTACAAGTTAAGATTGTTGGATTTGGGTACGCAGATCGATACAAACATTCATGGTGTTCATGGGCAATATAAGATAAACATGCAATTGAACAAATATAGATTAGTTTTTGTCTGTCAATGCTTGATCAGCTACAGTTTGTAAATACATTTTCCATAGTTCTAGTATAATGTCTGCATGTCTGTATGTACCTAATTTAGAATACACATTTAAGCGTTGAAATGCCATGAGAAAATGCACATTTAAGCGAAGAAAAAGTTCTTGGTCACTTAATATGTTAATCAAGTGATATAATTAATTTAAAAATTTTAAAAAAACATCAAGCGTTGATAGCATATTGCTTACAAACAAAACCATATATATTTATAAATATGTAAATTGGTCAATAATGTTATGCCGTTAAAACAGATACAGAATGATGATGTTTCTGAAGTTAAGTATGTGTTAAATCTATTGAAGATAAGGAAAATTAATATGAACGAGATAAATGACCATTAACTTTACAACTATTAAATATGATATGGGGTGATACAATTGAAGAAGTGGATGTAAATATTTCAAAGCTGTTACCGGTTTTGACATTGTCTTGATAATATAAAATTACTTAACTTTCCTCCTATATAACATTTTCACATGATTATTTTCAGTTTCAGTTTAAAATATTAATAATCACATGTTGTACACCACAGACGCCACAAATGTATGTTGTACATGTACCTATATTCAATCTATACCTTATAATCATCAAAACAAACTTTTCAGAGTCAATTTGGATCAAACAGTAGCCACTAGAGTGATTAACGGGAATTTTCTATTTTTTAGCCCCTGTGACCAATTTCTTTCATCCCAGATGACCCTTTTCGAACACATCCCAGCAATTGTTAAGAAAAAAGCATCCTGACCAAGTTTGATGACAACGTGAGTGTTAAAAATGTGAGCGCTAGGAGTGTTAACAAGGTTTTTCTATTTTTCAGTTCCTTTGACCGAGATGACCTATGTTTCAAACTAATCGAGCGATGCCAAGACAAGCATCCTGA